AATATATTACAGTGTTTGTCTTTTTCTATCCGATAAAGTTATATGAATTGTGCAGAAATTACTGTTTCATAACGATAGTTTATTATAATAACATAATATCATGAGATTGCATCGTACGATTGATCTATAACGAAATAATTCCACAGATGCATAGGAAAATGAAATTGTTTGTTGGAGTTAATAGTTATTTGTAACCATAAACGCATCCATATTCATATATATTTACATGCCGAACTTGATCCTATTACTAAATATCCCATAACCCGAAGATTAAATTACGAATTTATTACTTTGGGTAACGAGAATAGAAGATGTGAAAATCTAAATTAATTCCTTCGAAGAGGATATCTACATATCTCTGTCAAATTGAAACTACGTACGCATGTGACAATAAATATAAATGAAGGAAAAGTCCGATCAACTTAGATATTCAGTGAAATCTAGAACAAGCAATTTTTCATCGCGATGTCAAGGAATTTCCACGAGGTTAAGCTGCTGTGCATGTAGATCGGTGTAATACGCGATGACGCATCCTAATTAGCATAATTAATGCGCGTAATTAATAGCTAGTATGCATCGCGGATGCGTGTTATAGTGTTCGCGTACTTCATTGTCGGCGCGTATCGAATGAAACGCTCTTTGATGATAGTCGACAGATCTTGATTTTGTCTTGTTCGTATCTCATTCCGTATGTCATAACAACAATTACGCAAATTATAAACATGCATTAAATTAGAAAAACATAATTAAATATACTTGCAAAGAAAAGGACGACATTTTACGGATTGCTTCTGTAAAAACAATATTATGTATGTATATATATACAATAATATGTAGTATAAATGTATAAAATAAAATTAAAATAAATAGTAGTATATATGTATAAAATAAAATTTTATACAATTATATAAATTACATAAATTATAAAAGATATTAAATTTTAAGCAGAGATTCTTAAATGTTAGATACTCTACAAGAAGCTTTTTACTAACCGCAGTTCATTTTTTAGACGAATTATTATTTGTATGATTGAAAACTCTTTTCCGAGGGTAGTAATAGGAGCGGCTAACGACCGACAATTAAATCCTCGTCTTGGCGTCTGATGCCAAAGAGGAGGAAAAGTTGCATTATGTATACGAGGGGACAGAGCGGGGAGGAGTAGGAAAGAAGAACGAAGAAGTGAAACAGCCGAATGAATACGATATTGTTGCTGTCCGCTGAATGGCCCCAAGTTTTGTTCGTTGCAACAGCCCGCAGCAGCGCGACGGACGTTTCCCCTCCCGTCATCCGCCCTCGCAAATAGCAGTTTGACTCGACTATGGAATAAATTAGCCACGCTCGGGCTTTTCCAGCGAGGGACGGAGAAAGAAGGATCGCGCCGCGTCAGAGGAAGTAAGACGTCGGGATTGAGAGGAGCAAGGAACAGGCAAGGATGCATGGGGTGGTTGCTTATCAAGAAACAGGGGTACTCCGTCCCTTAGGCGATCCTTAATAATAAATTCATATCTGTACGAGACTCCGTCTAACCACCCCTAACGGGAGCTCACTCGCGCAAACGGAGAAGGGGAGCCTCGAAACCAGGTTCACCCTTGGCCACAACAGCCCCTCTCCCGCCTCGGCCCGACTACAAATCTCTTTTTTATTCCGCTTAATAAAACTCGCCTGACATATCTCCGACTTCTACCACTTAATTTCGGCTCCCTCTGTCCATCGACCCTTCCCTTTCTTTGGCTCGCTTTTTGCCACCGTTTCTTCCCTCCGCTTCTATCCATTTCACGGTTCCCTTTTTCTTTCTGTTTGCCTGCACGCCGTCGTACGTGCCCCGCTGTTTGTTCGTTCGTACGTACGTCCTCGTTCCTCGCAGAAACCTTTATCCGTTTTCGTAGGGCATCCCTTTTGGGACCCTCCCGAGGTTATTTTACTCCCGCTACCTCGACGGAATGAATTCGAATTCCTTTCGAGTCTCCGTATCTCTTTGTACTCAATGCTTCGAGCAGATCGATCTCGAGATACGGGACGAGCTTAGATAGAGAGAGACTCGCGTCGAAAAACAACCAGGAATCGTGTCCTTTTGCAATATTTTTTTCCCTATTTTATTCATTAAGCAAAATGAAAATCATGGATTTGAAAACATAGTAATTAAAATAATTCAGGTAGGTAAATCTGGGTAATCGCGAGTCGGAGGAATAATACTTTTATAACCACCTTGTTTCACAAAAGCGACCAATTAGTAAGTAATACCAGCGTACCAGGGGCAAAAACTCTTTTGCTCACTTCCAGGCTGAGCTATTGTGTGACTTTTAAAAAATCTCGCCAATTAGAAAGCAATTTCGCCCTGGAACACGCCGAGAATTTCCCTCTGGTATACCGACTCTATATTTACGCTCGTTTTATCCCCGGTCTCCCTCGCTCCCTCCTCTTACCACCCATTCTCTTTTTTATTATCTCTCGCCAAGTTATTTTTGTGCATGCATTCACACTCGACGCGGACGAAAACTAAACTTCTGTTGTAAATATCTCGTTTCCCCGGCGACTTCGTTTTCCCTATTTCGCCCCGACAGATTACTTTCCCTGAAAAACCGTACTTGTTCATTATTTACTGTTTTGTCGGAGATGTCTAAATGATTAGTCGCGCACGGACGATCATAGGAACGGCTCCCAGAGGTTCGTTCAGTCTAAATCGTTGCCGGACGGTGGCTAATAGTAATTAATGACAATAAAAGTTATTAGTCGCGCTTTACCGGCGCGAAATTAGCGACGATTCTGAAACGCGTGCGTTATTCACGCATAACGCATTCGATTATTCGACGGTGGCTTTCGCCGTTTCGTCCCTCCTATCACGTAATAATTCAAAATTGCCGTTACGCCCAATGACCGCGAACGGAACGACCACTTTGGAATACAATTCAACTCTGTCTACCTCTGGATTTACCTTTCACAAAACTTGTTGACACTGTTAAAAATCTAACTGACATCTTGCTAAAACATTCAATAAGACATTTAAAAGAAAAATGAAAGGCATCTTGCCTTGTGCAGATTTCAATGACTTTGCCAAGCTTTTTGTTAGCAGGTTTCAAACAGTAAGCTTTTGATCGAACAATGTCAAGCAGCTCGATGGATGAATTATTGTTGTTTCCGATATATTGATCAGTTTCGTATTGACCTTTACACGCCGCAGGCCTCTGGACGTCGCGATAATTAGGTCGCGAGAATTATTAGCCATTCAATCGAGCGGAAAAGGCTAACTCTCGTAACGGGAAATTGTAGGAATTGCTGTTCAGATTGGGATAATGGATGGTCAGACGGTTTACGAGATAATTTCCAGTACACTTTAATCTCACCTTAAAACGAGTTAAAATTCTTAATAGGACTATATCGAACACGATATTATTAAGCACGTTTTAATACATACAATAAGAATTAAATTAGTATTAAAAGAATCGTTTAAACCGTTTATGTGAAAGGCTGTTCTTTTGTTTATTGATTCCGGTCAGAATGCATGGTAAATGTTTGACAGACCAGCGAACCGCGGTTTGTTAACGAAACCAATCCTCGCGGTCACAGGTTTCATCGATTTCATGAGAGGCAGCCGACAGTGGCCTTTTTCCTCCCTGACTCTTTTATGCTAAGCGTCCGTTTCATTTGAATGTCGCTAATGCGAAAAACCGATGCATACTAATGGAGAACGGTCTCTCCTTTCCTTCTCATCCTCCATACCGGAGTGGCTGAACATATAGAAATCACCCTTTCCCTCGTTCACGTGCCTGTACATTACCCTTCATAAGTACATCCGGGCGAACACTGGTTCTTCGTGCCAAATCTCGATCTCCTCGAAATTATTAGCTAATACTTAGCATATTATTTTCATTAAAGTGCTTGGAATTGACTTCCGATGAATACTTTTGCATTTCGTCCGGGTCAATAAGTATTACGATTATCTGGTTTTCTGGGATACTTATGGATGGTAGTGTAGCTCGTGTACGCGCGTTTGCATAGCGACTGGCCATTTCTCCGGCTCTTTATGTCATATGCATACATTAAGCGCCACTTTGGAAGAAGATATGCGATGGAAATTGAGGATACGCCAGTCGCCAATAGCGATTTCCGTGGGTTTTTAGATAGTTTTTATAGCAAACGATATATCAAATAATATAAAAATGCGATTACAGTCTGTTTTGTGAAACTGATATTCTTTAAAAGAAATGAAGACAGACACTTTATATCAATGATCAGTATTACTTGAGCCGTTTAATTTAAAAGATAGCCTAATCCATCTGTCTGAAA